CCTTGATTTTGGAATTTTAAGCAAATAAATTTTTGTTGGTTAGGCCCTCTAGTTTGTGGTTGTTGTTGTGGCTGTCCTAGCAAACTGACATACTGCTCTAGTGTCCCTGTGTCCTTGCCTCTGCTTCTCAGCTCAGCATCCATGGTCGACACAGTAATCTCACTCTTCTGTACTTCTTTGTTTTTCTGGCCTCTTATCTCTCTGTTATGTGTTATATGTTACAGTCTTGCCTGGCAAAGCTTCCAACCTGGTTATATCCAATTCTCTTCTGTAAAGCTTGTGGCCACACAGCTGAGCACGGCTAAAGGGAAATAACCTGTATGCTGTCCACGCCGGGCCGTCTCGTTGTTTCTCTAGTCATTCGCTCTCCTTTTCTCTGAGAAGACTGGCTCACACCATTTCTCTTGGTTCTCAAACATCTAATTCCCTGTATATTCTCAGGCAATGATTTGCTTCTTTTTTTCTGGGCCACAATAGAAGGGATTAAAAAAACACCACATGATTTGGCCTCTGTCTAATCTACTAACTTGCCTGCTTTTGTGCCTACATGGTCTGTCATCTTCTCTGAATAAAGGGGTGCAGCATCCACATGTCCAGCTTAGGCAGTCCATCGCTTGTGCTCTGCGTCACCACAACCTTAACTGACACAAAGGGACTTGTTTCTTGCCTGTACGACATCAAGTGTGTGCTGGATGACTTCAAGGCCACATTTCTCCATCAGAGTGGGGTGGGGATTCTGGTTCCTCTGACTTATAAGGTCATCAGCTCAACACATGACTCCCAGTGTCCCTGTGGCAGAGGAAAGGGCAGGGAAGGTGCATGACACATAGTTGGGAAAAGCAAAAATCATTAAGAACAATGTTGGAGGAGAGAAGCTGCTTTAGAGATAAACATTTTAAAATATTTTGACAGTGCCATCCACTATGTGGGAGTTCAGCAACCACTAAGAAGACAAGGGTGATAATCTTTTGCATGCTATAGACATAGTAGTTCTGGAATTTTATTTTCACTTCATTTGTGAATATGCTGTGTGTGTCTTCTCCATAGAATTCACAGCAGCACCCTCATCTTGCCTTTGGGAGATCAGGGGTGGTCTCACTACCAAGCCTGCAACCCTGAAGCTGGGAGAGAGGGGTTGTTCATCTTTTTTATTCTATAGAACATGGCATAAAATTATCTGAATTTGTAAATGAAAGGAAACGATTTGATGTCCATTCCTGTCAGGGTGAGAAGCTGTGAATTTGTTTGTGCCTGTGCATCCCTGCTTGGGGTTTTCCACAGGCATTTGTATCTCTCTGACCTAATCCTCCATTACTGTGAAGGTGGAGGGGGTGAGAGGGCGTAACCTGAAGGATGACAAATGGCATCAGGTGGTCCAGTTAGACGGCACATGCTAATCTTTGGTTTTAGGAATTCAGAGGCATATTTACAAAACGTTCTTCAAAACTGATACAACCAACAAAGAAGAATATGGCGCACAATTGCCTTTTGTACATAACAAGTCACGTGAAAATTTAGTTGCTGAAGACACTTAAGTTGATTTAGCTTCTGATTCTGTGGGTCAGTGGTGCCCTGTTCTCACTGGTCTGCAGCCTGTTGCTGTTGGCTGGGCAGCTCTGCCCCTGAGAGCTGGCTGGCTGTCAGCTGGGTGAAGATGGAAGTGTCCTCCTGCAGGACAGCCGAGGCACGTTTACATGGAAGCTGGGCAGGAGCCCAAGAAAGAGGGGAAGAGTGCAGGACTTCTGAACCCAGGATATGGGACAGGTATGGTATGGGAACACTCACAGTTCTGCCACAACCTATTGGTCAGACAAGGTGCAATGTCAACTCATACTCAAGGCCTCTAGATGGCAAAGGCCCAAATTCAAGTGCAAATGAGTGTAGAAAAAGGAAGAGAAATAATTTATGGTTGTTTTGTAATCTACTACATAGGACAAACACTTGAGCAGTGCAGTCTATGATATCTGAAATTTGTTCCTTCACCTAGTCTTATCCAGTGCAAAAAGAAAAAGTCAGAAATTAGTCTTTGAAAATTAGGTCTGCTAAATATTTCTCCTTTGCACTCTAACTTGTCACTATTGAGTTTTAAGAAAATGATCATTATTTTAAAACTAAAAGCTTCTATTTTGAAGTTCATTTATTTTGTAGTGGAAATAGTCTTTCTGAAAGAGGAAGTGTGTTGATTGCATTGAAAAGGACCAGTATCCTGGCCCCATGGAAACAGCATCTTGAATTATCTAAGTGTTCACCACCTGGCGTTTTAAGGCCCAGTAGCCATATAGTACCACATTATATAATGTGGGGAAAAGAATCTAAGTGTATAGCACGTGTAAGGATGGTGGACCCTCAGGTGAAGTTGGTATCAGATCAAAATTACGGCCGATGAAACAATAAGAATATGGTTAAATTGCCCCAAATAATCATCTTAATAAATTAATCATTTTTGTAGAAGATACTTGGATAACTGTTACCTGAGGAAAGTACTCTTTGCAACAACACAGGGATAGGCTATGTTTTAATGCTTTTAAATACATCTAAGGCATGAGGTGTATATGCATATGTGCCAACACATAGGAACATATGTATACACACATAGCTGTTGAGTTTTGAATTTAAACAAAAGTGATAGCATGTGTAATAGGCCTGTTATAAATTACTGGAGTATTTGAAATTATTACCCCTGTCCTGACTTACTTAAAGAAAATATGTAAGAAATACAATGTCCTAGTCATGAGCTATTTGTGTAAGTGGTTGCCTTTCTATGAAAATTCTTCTCTCCCCTAAACTCTTGTCTCAGCCAGTGTCAGTGGGGCTCTTAAAAATTAGAACTTAGATTCGAATCAAGGTACACCCCCATGCAGTGATTAGGGGCATATGAATGACAGATTTGATATCTGTCTGTATCTATGACTACTGTTAAGCTGCAAAGAAACCATGAGAGAACAAATCCTTGCCCATTGCAGTAGCTGAATGGCTCTGCCTTTGCTGGGAAAACTGTATAGCAATTTTCTATCGTAAAACCCATGGTGATAGGATTCAGGAAGGTGGACCCTGGGAGGACTGACGAGGGGATATGTGTGTGTGGGAAGTTTTTGAATGAGTCACTGGACAGGATTGTAGAAATTCTTAAGATTGCAAACAGGAAATTAGTGGGTTGCTTGGAAAGGCAGATGTGAGTTTTGAACTAGGAAGAGATGGAGGTCTTCCTGAATGCTGTGAGGGATCTGACATGAGGCAGAAAGTTCCCAGGATGATGTCAGCCACCTGCAGGGGACACAGGAAGTATGGAACTTAAATCCTTGCACTGACTGCAAACAATTGATTAAGACTTTCTCCTTCACTGGCTACTGTAATGATTAGAGAAATCATTGTAGGCAAGTGTACTTTAAAAACTGTAAAGCAGTGTACAAGCACTGTCCTCTTCACTGGGGGCCCAGTGCAAAGGAGGAGGAATCAGGGAAAAGAGTGTAGATGGAGGTGTTTAAAAAGACAACATTACGGTATAGATGTTCACCTTTCTCCTGCATCCCTTTGTCCAAGCTACAGAAAAGTAGACTCCCACAGGGAGAGATCTTGAGATCTAGGATCTATAGAGAATAGTGAGGGGAAGAAAGAAACAGGAGATCCGTACACCTTCCCAGTTATGCCTCTCAGGTCACTTGACAACTGGACGTTGGTTATCTTAGCAAAGGGAGTTCATACGGAGCCAAAGTTTTCCTTACTTATGCTTGAATTCCCTGGGGGCCTTCATAATCTACCCTGGATAGTCATGTTAGTGCCTATCCTTCTCACATCTTTTCTCTATGGTGAACACAATCCCATATCCACACTACCAAAATCTATAAGGCTCCAGAGTGAAAGTTCATTTTATAATTTTGGTGATGACACCTGATTTGAATGTCATGAAAATATTAATACATCTTTCCTTCTTCAGTGGATTACAGATACATTTTGCTGAAGGGATATCAATATGTTTGCTTACTAAGTGCTGTCCCAGGCATTCAGGGTATTATGTAAAATTTAGTATATGCATGACATTATATTATAAAATAAAAGTAATTCTACAATCTAGTCATAAGGACTTCATGTAACAGCCTATGGATGTGTATTATCTTCAGATTGAAGCAGGAAATTGATGTTTAGTGAATATCAGGGGCTGGCTTAACATCACGTTGCCAGGAGATGGTGGATTGGGATTTCAACTCAGGTATGTCTAACCTCATCATTCCTTTCTTTACTGAACGACAACTGGTTTCAATGAAGTCTTTGTTTTGAGGTTGAGGAATTACTGGGATGCATCACTTTCCGAAGAATGATTAAAGACACTGTTGAGAGCTGCAGCCATAGTTAGGCACACACCATCGATCCCTCCCTAGCTCTGGAGAAGTGGAAAAACCTTCCATGGTTCTTTGAGTTGCAGAAGACTTGCTCCTTACATTTTTCTCTTTAGCATTAGTCCTTAGATGACACACTGGCTTTCTGTCTCTTCAACCTGATTGTCTTCTTACTGACGCACACAAAATGTGGTAAGGTCACAGCAAGCTCCAAACGTGGTCCCTTTGTCCAACTCTTCCACCCTTATAGACCCTCAATATAGGAAGTCCAAACCTTGTAGACATGATCACTCTTTCTGGACTTCGTTCTTCATCCCAGCCTCTTTCTTTATTCCTTTGTTTTTTCTTTTATACACTCCGAGAAGGATCGTTGTCTGGTGTGATGTGATCTCCAGGTGATTTCATTGATTTAGAGGGTGCATAGTTAGGATTCCATGATTGCAGTTGTATTTATTTTAGAAACATAAAATAATATAAGGCAGAACTCATGTATGGAATACAATCACACTTATTATTTAATGATAATAATAATAATAATAATAATACCATAATGCTACCTAGGTGTACATATAGTATAAGATTAGGAAACAGAAAGTTTTATTTTGATTCCTGCTTTGCTATTGGGGGAAAATAATCTTTGGACTTTGGGTTCATCATATATATATATAAAATATGGAATGCTTCATCAATTTGCATGTCATCCTTGCTCAGGGACCATGCCAATCTTCTCTGCCTGTATCATTCCAATTTTAGTATATATGCTACTGAAGTGAGCACTGGTTTCATCATATATTAAAGAATGAAGTGAACTAAATGATTTATAAATAATATACCAATTTACATAATTTTGTCAAAAGTATTAATGTTATGTTACATGCATAACAGAGCAACAGGGCATTATGCTATTATTATTATTAAATACTATCTCTAAAGTTCACTTCAAAGACTTCTGTAACTCCACTTTTTCTTACTAGTTAGTGATTTATTTGTCTTCTTTTCTGAATTCTTACAAGAGGATATTACTCTGGTTTCAAAGGTTTTGGAATCAATTTTTTCAGTTTCTGCTCAGTGGATATTTGTATTATAGATAATACTTGTCTTTTTTATCTCTTCTCAGTTTTTCTAATGCTCTCTTTTTCATATTGCTCTTTCTTTAGTTCCTTCTGGCTTTGCTAGTTTGAGGGAGCAGTGATACTGACAGCACAGTGCTTACAAGAGGTTAGAAACAAGAGAGATGAAAAGCTATGTTTGTTGAATATAATTAATATGCAATTTGTACCTTCAAAATTAAACACCGACATAGTCAGTGCATGTGTTGTCATAAATTCTTTCATAGTGGGCAAAAATCATGCAAGATACGTTTTGAAAAATGTTTCCTAAAAGACTGTTCTTAACTCACCCTGAGCATGTCATTTCAAAATGTACAAAGAAACAAAACTGTCATCTTTCGGGGTTGGATGTGATTTTTTTGTCCTTTGTCTTCTCTGCCACACTAGCTTTATGTCCTTTGCTTTAACATGGCCTGCTTTTCAAAAATGCAATTGTGTGGATTTCAGGGGGCTGTCAACTCGCCTTCCCCAGATGTCTGGGCCAGCTCTGGGCTCTAGACACCTCTGAGGGAGGCGAGTCCCAGAGATGATAACTAGAAAGAAGCTGCTGATCCTGGGACAAATGACAAGATGTGCTGAGCCTTTGGGAGATGTGGCAGGATGTTACTAATGAAAGATGGCCCTGCCGCTGAGGGAAGGGAAGGAAGCAGATGTGAGGGCAAGATTCAGGTGACAACCTCAGTGTTCCATAGAAACAGGATGTTATGGAGGAGGGAGAAAGTCAGCTGGCATTTGGCAGTATGTGCAGAGCGAGACCCAGGAGTGGGTGGTGGAAGTTGAGGTTTTCAAAGATTTCTGACCTTCTGCCTGCCAGCTTGGAATTAGATTTCTTTATGGAGCGGGAGAAGGAGGGAAGGGGTGGAAAAGGCAGATGCCAAGAGAGATTACTGACTTGGCAACCAGACAAAAGAATGCTGCAGCTGGCACCTACATTGGAGAAGGGCAGAATGGTGTAGCTGGGAGGTGTACCGCATGGGGCTGAGGGCCAGAGTTTGAAATTCTAGAGAGTAGCCCGAGGTGGCCACGTCTGTAGACAGGAGGAAATAGTCTGGAAATTAAAAAATGTGAAATTTAATATATTTTTATAGATTTTTAGGATTGACATTTAGAAGCCCATTTATCTTCTTTTCTCCTACCTAAGAAGGCAAATATCTTGTATTCAGATTGGTGATGCTCTTTTAAAATTTCAATTCCAGCAATATTGCCTCATTTCCAATTCCAAAACTGAGGTGGTAGGGTTTGACTATGGGCTTCCCCAATTCCCCAGCAGTGAATACTAAGTGACTTTTCCAGGTCGCAAATGTTGACCCAGAACAATATCATTCTCTGGTAGACAGACAAGACTCACTACTCCATTAGAATACAATTTTGTTGCTACACAAACCAGGAAACTAAATTTAATAACATCATTGCAGGTTTTTGCTTTGGACTCTCCTTTAAGGTTTCTTGAGTTTCTCTGTCTTATACCAATATACACCACTAGATGTCGCTGTTACCTGGGCCTTTGGGTGAAAAAAGCAGCAATATGCCTGTCCTTTTGTGCCAGGGGAAAAACAATCTTCAGAAAGGGAGGATAATGCTGTCTGTGTGGATTTAAATAAGACCTTTTTACCTGGCATTTTTATTGAAAAACAGATACTCCATATGTTGTGCTGATTGCTATTTCCATTTCTGTTTTTGAAAGGGAGAGACTGAATTAAATGTGTTTCTTCCTACAAATGCACCCTACCCTTTATCTTTACTAATTCATACTTCTCCTTAAAAATGTAGCTTTCAGGTCTATAATATAGGGAATATGTGTTAGAAAATTAGGAAAATCATCAGATGATGAGTATTCAGAATTTATATATGGACTCCAAATATTTCTCCTCTAAACTCTTCCTAACCTTAGAGAATTTCAAAATGCTGTATCTAAATTTCTTAGGAAAAATGACTTAACTAACACTAACTTTAACTAGGAAAAGAGTCCTATGTGAGCAAGTGAATCAGAGTGAAGAATTCAATCTTCATCACTACTCTCAGTCTACCCTTGAACCCAGGTGACGGATGCTGCCATGTGTTTCAGCTTATTTAAGTGGTGTTACACACACAAATCATCCACTTTCCCGCTAAGTTTCCTTGTATTGATTAAATGTTGGATATAGGTATCTCTTATACATTGTTGCCATTGATTAATATATATCAGAGTATTATTTAAACATACAATTAAATGATGCAACTACATAATACTGCAGTCATGAAGTGTTTCTTGAAAATAGATTAGTTATAGCATTTAAGTAAAAACCCTCAATATAATTTTACAACAGCAAATGATAGCCATTAGTAATAGCAAGATAAAGACATAAAATTTAGAAAACCTTACAAAATATATCTTAAAAAGCAAATTAAGGCTTTACTTGAGTTGGCGGTACAAAATGAATCAAGTTGTTCTTTTTCGAACTTTATCTCTAACCATTTAATACTTGCGTCTTTAGCTATTGGCTGCCTCCGACAGTTACTGAGCCAATTGACCTCCAAACTAGGACTACATCAATCTGTTTTCTCTCTAGCTGTGACTCCAGAGTATTTATAGGTTATTCTGCACTGTAATTTCACTCCCTCGAGCTAACTTGTAGCTATGGGCCAATGCCAACTCACTGACTCAAGTGGGAATAACAGTCCTTGAGATGAGGTTGCCACGTCCCTTTCAGAATATTTACCATTTATTCTCTCTCTCCCCTTCTCAGTTGTCCCTTTTTCTTTTTACTTTCCCCTTTTCTTCCCTCACTTTCATTTTTTTTTATCTTCTATTCCTTTGTTTCCCTTCCTCCCTTTCTGACTTTTCCTTCCATGTGTGAGACACTTCAAAGTATTGTGGAATTGTGACCACCTCTGTGTAAGTTTCCAATGGCTTCTGTAACAAAATTCCACAATTCTTGTGGCTTAAAACAACATGTGTTCATTTTCTTGTAGTTCTAGAGGTTGAGAAGTCTGAGACCAGTTTCCTGGGATGAAATGAAGGTGTCTTAATTTCAGTGCTCTCCCCCAAGTCTCCCAGATGGCCTGTCTCCTTGCCTTTTCCAGTGTCTGGAGCTGCATTCCTTGAATTCTTTGGTTCTCCACCCCTCCCTTCAAAGGCAGCCATGTAATGTCTTTAAATCTTTCTCTCTGCTGAGGTCAAGACATTATCTTTTCTCTTCTGTGTCAAATCTTCCTCTACCTTCCTCTTTGGACACTTTTGACTATATTTAGGGCCCACCCAGGTAACCCAGGTTAATGTCTCCATTTCAAGATCCTTAGTCACGTCTGAATAGCCCCTTTTGCCAAATAAAGTAACACTACAAGTTCCAGGGATTAGGATCTTGATATATTTAGGGGATCATTAGTCAGTCTTAGCTGTCTTTGGGCAATTTATTTAATACCTCTAAAGTTCAGTTTCCTTATCTGATAGTGTTACTGTGAGGATTTAATGAGAAAATGCTTGGAAAGTGCTTAGCATAGTGCCTGGGAAAGACTAAGTCTACTTTGAATTAAAATAATTCAAATGCTAATAAATGTTATTTCTACTATCAAGTATAATTACCTTAAAGATTATCACATTCCCCATCCCATCTTCCCTTCTTCTCCTCCTCAATCCATCTCTGTCCTCATGACTCTACCAGAACATTTATTTCAAGGCTTCTACTTTCTTCTAGTTGAACAAATTTAAAAGTGAATTTTGGACTTCATTTTAGTTTTAATAGCATCTAATGCAGTTAACACTTACTTTACATAGAAATATGTTCCTTACTTTGCTTCTGTCATAACATAGTTTCTATTTTTCCACTTACCTAACTGGATATTTCTCTTCTCTTTCCTTTCCCATCTTTTCCCTTTAACCCACTACAAATACTGCTATTACTCAAAGAACTGTCTTGAGTGCTCTTTGTTTATCTTAATGCTGAGGGGTGGAGTATCCTGGCATGTTTGATCCTAAAAAGACAAAAGGGTGGGAATACAGATAGAATGGGAATGTCATGGGGGAGAGCTGGAATGCTGGTCTGGGTGATTGGGGTGCTCTGGTATAAGATTTTGGCATTAATCAAAGAGAGGCTTTGATCTTGGTGTGTTGTATGATATCTGAGTCAGTTTGGGCTCCTATAACAAACTGCCATAGACGAGGTGACTTATATACCCCAGAAATCTATTTCTCCCAGTTCTGAAGGTGAGAAGTCTGAGATCAGGGTACCAGCCTGGTCAGGATTGGTAAAGGATCTCTCCTGGACTATAAACTGCTGACTTCTCATTGTGTCAGTACATGATGGAAAAAGGATAAAAGAGCTCTTTGGGTTCCTTTGATAAGGGCACTAATCCCATTCATGAAGTCTCCACTCTTAGATTCTGATCAACTTCCCAAAGGCCCCATCTCCTACCATCATATATTAGGGGTTTAGGATTTTGACATATGAATTCTGGGGGACACAGACATTCAATTTAATAGGAGTAGATGTTGGTAGTGAATTCCTGAATTCTTTCCACTCCAAAATGTCTATAATTTGAGGCACCCATAGCATAGTGGGTAGGGCGCTGGCCACATACACCGAGGCTTGTGGGTTCAAACCTAGCCCCAGCCAGCTAAGGCAACAATGACAACTGCAACAAAAAAATAGCTGGGTGTTGTGGCAGGTGTCTGTAGTCCCAGCTACTTGG